GGGAACTAGAAGAAGAAACAACGCAACAAACCTAAACTTTTGGCGCTCCGCGCAGATCCAAGAAATCCGCGCGGAGCGCCAAAGTTTGAGTTTAGTGCGTTGTTTCTTCTTCGAGGAACGTTCGTGGGGAGCTGTCTCAGGGAGGAAACAGTGTCTACCCGACATGCTAGCGAAGCGTTGAGTGAGCACCGTCTCCCAGGGCCCGACGCGTGTACGTAAACCCCACCGTTTCGGTGCTCTCTTGGTGCTCGAGGGATTCTTGCTGGTGGCCAGGGCCAAGGTAGGTTGGAACATCGTAGGGCAGGCTGGCAAACGGGTGAGGGGGGACGCAAGTGGGGAGCTGTCTCAGGGATCCTCCTCCTCCTCCTCCTCCTCCTCCTCCTCCTCCTCCTCCGGGAGCTGTCTCAAGACGTCGCGGAGGAATCGGCGACGCGCCGCCGAGGGAAGCTGGCGACAGCATCTCCCTGGGCGGGGAGAGCCGTCGGGCCCCCGCAGTCAGACCGGGCGCGTCCCCCACAGGTGGACACCGGACGAAAAAGCAAAACACACAGCCAGGACATACTCAAACATAGTCAGCAGATGGTTGGGAAATCGTCCTCAGGCTTTATGGTGGGGGGGGGGTTCTTTGTTTGTTTACGTTTTTTGAATATTCCTCCTGTAGAGAGACGCACCCGACTTAACCCTATCGGCGATGAGTGGGCGATTGAAAGTCGATGCGCGCCCCTGTGAGCCTTCCTCTGTCCCTCCCTGCTGTCGGGCCAGACATGACGCCTTGAGCGGCGAAGGCGGGGCGATCTGGGCAACCCTCGCGCGCTCTCGGCGCGGCGCAGCTGTGGAGAGCCTCTCGCGACTGGAACGCCGCCGAGAACCTCCTCCTCCTCCTCCTCCTCCATCTCCTGTCCCCGCCCTGAACCCATCCACCCCTCACGCTGCCCCGAGAGGGAGGCTCGGCCGATGAGAACTGGCCTCGCGCGGCCAGTGCCCCGTGCACACAGATAGAACGGAGGCAGGACAGGGGGCAGCGCCAGACAAAGATACATCGGCAAACTTCGAGATGCGGCGGTTCTGCAAGTGTGCATCGATTGCCATGACCTTCTCAGAGCGCTCCGTAACTCCCTGAGATCGATGTATCCCGATTCTGGACCTGGCCGGCTTGACTGAATTTGAGCAGAAACCGTCCGTCCCGGCATTCTTGTAGGCCTACCACGAAATGTTCTTAGAACCCCGAAATGTTCCAATTACAAAAACCATGGTCTCAAACCCGATGTGTTAAAGCAAGACAGCCTCGGCCAGACATGTTCTCAGAACATCTCGTGCAGGCCACAGGAGGCTCTTAGAACATTCTTTGGTGGGCCTAAAGGCGAGCCAGGACGCTTCGCCACTGCTTGACCAAGTTCCCTCCCGAGCGCGCGCCCGTCCACGAGAGGCCGCCTTGATGGGGTCCGAGTAGATGGGGTCGGAGGATCGCGCCGTATCGCGGATACTTCGGCGATGTATCGGCGATGCATCGGCGATGCATCAGCGATGCAGCGGCGACGTCGGCGATGCATTGGCGACGCCGTCGTGGAGAAGGTCGGGCTCCACATCGAGACGCATCGACGATGCATCGCCGATGCGGCGCGGTCCCCCGACCCCACCTGCTCCGACCCACCTAGGATGAAGGGGCCCAAGGACAAAACAAAGAAATGCACACAAATAAACATGTCCTGCATAGTTTCAAATATTTGGGGGGTTTTCGTTTCCCCCCCCCCCATTCCCATGGTTTCTCATATTTTCTGGAGAATCGACGATTCACTGTTTCTGTGTGTTCTTCTCACTCCTGATAATCTGATAGGAGGCCTGGGTCCACTGAGCGCAGGCTGCCGGGGCGCCGGGGCGGCGGGGCCGAAACGAAGCTGCGCGGCGAGAGGCTCCGAGCCCAGCACGTGTGTGTGTGTGTGTGTGTGTACGCAGACGCCCACCGGCGAGCCTTTCTCCCGTCCCGCCAGGGAGGGGGCGGCAGGAGGTCGCCGGCCCTCAGTGGTGTGGTACACCGCCACCCTGCCCTGAGGCCCAGGACCAATCCACTGGGGGGTGTCTGTGTATACACCTCTCTCTATATATATATATATGTATACGTATGCATGCATGTATGTATGTATGTATAAATGTATAGAATATGTATACGTTATTTCTGTTCGCGGAGGAATGGAGGGAAAAACAACGATGGCCAAGACCAAGACTGAGATCGGAAGCGATGGTGTCGATCGTGGCCATCGTGCATCTCGGTCATCGCCTGTTCGTGGGTCCTCCTCGCGATTCGGCGACGGCCGGCATGGGCCATGACTACAGTCGGAGTCGTGCATGATCCCACGATACCTTGGTCATGTTCATCGTTTTCTTTTCTCGGAGCCAACCCCCTTTTTCGGACCCCCCGATGCTGGGCAGACTTGGGCTTTGCCGAATTGGGTTCGCGCCAAGACATGCGCGACCCGAACAGGCAAGTCGCAGGCCCCGCGAGGCAGCTGGATGTTCGCCTTAGGCGCGGCGGTCAGATGCTGGCCAGTCACTCATCCTCGAAAACAGACACGTTCCTAGCAAGCGGTACAGCAAGCACAGAGAGGCATCAGCGTGCGCTCTCGTTGCGCACAAAGTCTTGTCAATGTCAGCATGTTCGTGACTCTACGGGACAGAAGACCAGCTGACGGCACATATCTCGAACATCGCCGCTACATGTACAATAATGCCAGCGAGCGCACGCCTAAACAGTACTGCTGTTGTGGCCATTTCCCATCACACGGCCGCGAAATGTAATGGGGGCTAGGTTACAACATCAACCTGTATCTGACAACGTGCTAAGAGGCGCAACATAGAGTTTCCTCGGGTCCCTTCGCGCTCTTCGTACTGGGTAGTATAAAGTAATGCGCTATCGCAACCTGGGCGTAAGCTACATGGATTAAGCTACAGAGATGTAGCAATGTGGTGCGAGCCACGTGTGCAAGCAATGTGATGTAAATACTGTGGCGCAAGCTTTGTTATGTGAGGTAGGTCATGTCAACTGTGTGGAGGCATGCATGTGGCACAAGCTATTCGGTCCAAGCTATGTTGTGAATGCAAAGTGGTTCACAGTATGTGGTGTAAGCAATGTGGTGCAATCTATGCGGTTTGAGCCATGTGGTGTGAGCAGTGTGTCACCAGCTATGTGGTGCAAGATCGGTTGTGACAGCTGAGAGGGGGTAGGGTGCGCAAGTGGCGTAACCTATTCGGTGCGAGCCATGCCGTGCACGCAGCGTGGCTCAAACCGTGCGGTGCAGGCCACGTGGCGCAGGCCGTGTGGCGCAAGCAGCGCGGCGCAAGCTGTGCGGTGCACGCCGTGTGGTTTGAGCCATGTGGTCTCTGAGCTGTGCGGCGCCGCGCGCTGGATGCCGTGCCCACGGGCGGGCAACGCGCGAGACCCCGTGTCCTCCGACGGGCAGATGTTGGAGGAAGCAAGTGGAGAAAAGCCAAAAACAGAGATTCAGAGCATGCACAACGATACTCCAACACATCGCCCCCGGACCACTCTTTTGCGCTGTGCTTGATCGATTGGTCAAAAACAGGTATTCAAAGCATGCACAACGATCCTCAAACACATCGCCCCCGGACCACTCTTTTTTGCACTGTTTTTGAACTGTTCCTCCTGCAGAGGGCCAGGCCCGAGCTGACGCTCCGCCCAGCCGGCGCGCGGGCTGCCCGCCGGGCGCCCCTGGGCGGGCACGTAGCGAAACCCCGACCCACCCAGCCGCAGCGGGGGGCGCCCGGAGGGCGCCCACGGGCGGGCGAGCGGCGAAGCCCCGGCCCACCTCAGTCAGCTGCGACCTCAGAAGCGCAACAAAAATAGTCAAAAAGTAGCCTACAGTATTCAAGGATGGTCAACAAATCGTCCCCAGACTATTTCTTGACTATTCCTGCTCAGGAGAAATGCCCTGCCCTGACCCCACGCTCTGGGTGCTATCGAGCGCTCTCGGACCCTCCTGGGCGATCGTGGAGATTCCCGCGTGGACTTGCCAGAGGCCCCGGGAGCATGGCCGAGATCCCTCGCTTGCAACAGACGGGTGCCCGTGCTGGAGCCCTCTTGGGCGCCCCTGAAAGCCGCCTAGGAGGCCGTGGGGCGTATGCCCAAGACTCCCAAGTCAACGAAATAGCAGTGGGTGTGTTGCGGAATGGGCCGAAGGCCACTACAGTCAACGCGTATAATATGGACGCACGATGAGGATGCAAGGGCCGTGTAAGGCCATGTCGACACCTTTTCAGCGGGGCGCGGCCAGCGAAAGTGGCCAAGGATAAGCCGAAGGGGGATCTCCTTTGGAAATCGTTCATCCTTACTATGCTCTAAGACTGTAGACTTGCTTTCCACGTTCGCTTTCCATTGCTACCTGCTCAGGCTGAAAGGAGTTATTGTGCGTCCAAAGTGGGAAGTGAAAAGATCAAGTGAGACACCATTGTGAAGGGACGGCGCTTTGTTAACAGACGAAACGCAACGAAACGGGATCATACGTAAGCGATGCGATGGTCATTATCTCTTGCCTCACGTCGCTCGTTCCAATCCCCTACCCTCCTCCTCATCCCCCCTTCCCTTCATACATATCTCTCCTCTCCCCCATCCGCCTTTCTCCATGCTCACACCTCCGCCTCTCTCCATGCTCTCCGCCTCCTCCTCCTCCTCCTGCTCCTCCTACCAACTCCATCCTCCTGCTCCATGTGTTCATCCTCGTTGTCTTGACCTCGTGCCCCTCCCTCTTCCTCCCCTCCGCACGGCCCCGCTCCCCCCTTCTCGAACATCACCTGCCTCCCTCCTCTCTCTTCCTGATCCCTCCACCTGCTCCCGGTGTCCCTCTTCCCTCCTCTCTCCTTCCCCTCTCTCTTCACTCCTCTACCATTCTCGTCCTCGTCCTCGTCCTCGTCCCCGTTCTCGTCCTCCTCGTCGGTGTCATCGACGTCGTCGTCGTCTTCTTCCTTCTCTGCCTCCTCCTCCTCTTCCTCCTCCCTCAGCCACTGCTCCCCTACAAGCAGCCACGCCCTTGAGGGTCACGGCTGTCCCCCATCTCTGCCTCATCTGGCGTACGAACAAGTCCTGAGGGACAAAGCCCCTGCCTCGGCGAAGGCGCACGCAGCTAGAGTGGAAGCGCACGCAGCAGAGTGGAGGCGCACACAGCAGAAAGGACATCGACCTCCGTGGCGGAAGTTGTCTTTCAAGACTCACCTTGAGACTCCCTCCTCCCTGCTCAGCCGTCATCCTCCTCCTCCCTGCTTTCTTCTCCTTCTCCCCCCCTCCTGCTTCACCCATCCACGTCCTCCTCCTCCTCCTCCTCCTCCTCCTCCTCTCCCCCATCGTTTACGATCCTTCCTCTCTGCCCTTTTCTCTCATCTCCGTCCCGACCCTTTCTCATCCTCCCTTCGCCATCTTCTCATGCTCCCTCTCCTCATCCCATCCCACGGCCCTATTCGCCTCCCCCTCCTTTCCTCCCCTTCGTGCTCCCTCATGATTTCGCCTCCCTCCCCTACCCTTCTCCTTCACGGTCCCCATTCCCATGACCGAATACCCCTGATAATCACACCTGGGGGATCATCAAATTCTGGGTTCATGGGGTCAGTAACTTCTGTCTTCCTTGGGGGGCCTCGTAAGTCGCGTGTGCAGACGCGAGTCTCTACACGTCGGTCGGAAGAAGTAGGTAGAAGCATGAAGTAGGAAGGCGGACAAAGAAGATTGGGTTCGGGCCCGCCCAGAGAGTAACAAAAGGCAGCCGAAAAGGCAGATCGACTCTTGAAGTAGGGAGGCGCTTGAAGCAAATTGGGATCGATCCGGGAGTCCAAAGACACCTGCTTTCAACGACCGGCGTGTACTCGAAGAGTTAGGGCCCCGAGACGCTCGGCCCCCACCACCTCGGCGTGTTTCTCGCCAGAGGCCTAGATTTAGCTCGGGCGTGTCCCCCTACAGGGGGATTTTGGACGATCCATGAAAAATACTTAAACATGCTCAAACATAATCAAAGCTGGTCAAACTAATCATCCCCTGACTATGTTTTACTATCTTTGAATCTTCCTCCCGTAGAGGGACAGGCCCGACGTGGGCCCAGAGAGCTCGCTGGGCCTGCCGCGCGCTCGTGGCACGGGCAGGCGGCACCGATGAGGAGTCCCCCGTGGGCCCTGCCGCACGCGATCGTGACCAGGGAGAGCTGACATGGCGAGAACCCCTGTGGCCCTGCCACGCGTTCGCGGGTTAGGACAGCTGACATGGCGAGAACCCCCATGGCCCTGCCACGCGTTCGCGGGTTAGGACAGCTGCCATGGCGAGAACCCCATGATCCCTGCCACGCGTTCGTTAGGACGGCTGGAAGGGTGAGCAGCCCATGATCCGTGCCACACGTTCGTGATAGCTTTGCTACTCAACACACAGCACAAGAAGATACCGACGTCGCCTCGTGCTTTCCCTGGCGATAACTACTGAAGCTCGACCTGGCCGCCCCTTTCCCCCGACCAGCTCTGTCTTGGCCTGGCACAATCAACTCTCAGGTCTTGAGGGGAGGATGACTTATTCGCAAGGCTTATTTATCATACCCTTCTCTTCTCGTCCTTTCTCCTCCCCTTCGTCATCCCTCCTTCTTCTGTCTCCCTCCCTCATCCTCCTCCGTCACGGTCCTCATTCTCATCTTCCCCTCTTCCCCTCCCTCCTCCTCCACCCACCATCGATCTTCACGCCATGCTTTCCCCCCCACCTCCTTCCTCCCGACACACTTCAGCAGCGTCCTTCTCGTGCCTCCCCCCTTCTTTCCCCTCTCCTCCTCTACCCCCACTCGCTTCTCCCCCGCCCTGCCTCCTCATGTATTGCTAGGCTGCGCCGAACCCGACAAGAAGTGCCCTGCAACCGATGATCCCGAATCACCACTGCGTCAAAGAAAGCCGGCCAACATATGCAGTCGGAAAGAACACCGATGCGGGAAATCGTGGGAGAAGTGCCACCCAGAAAAAGCCTGGTGTACAAACAGGAGGTGCGAATCTGAAGTGATTCACGCCCTGCCCTGATCACTCGGGGCCCTGATGTTCGGCGTCCTCGTCGTCGTCGTCGACGTCGTCATCGTCGTCGTCGTCGTCGACATCGCCGCCGGCGCCTGCGTCGGCGTCGGCGGCGTAGTCGTCGCCGCCGAGGGGGCTGGCTGGGCTGGTCCTCGGAGAGGCGAGCATGGGATTCTCCCCCCGGATCGACAGCATCACCTCCTTTCGGGCGGGGACGGCGCGGAGGAAGAGGACCCACACCTCCAAGGTCTCTAGAACCTCCAGGCGGACACAACATTCCCAATCCTCGGCGTCATGGGTGCCCTCGCCGAGCCCCGGGCACCGTCCAAGAACGACTCAGGACGCCACACCGGCGCCGGGGAAAAAGGTCCAAACTTAGGTCGGGCATGTTGTCCTGCAGGCGGATCTTAGGAGAAAAACGCAATGTCAAAACATGTTCAAAAATAGTCAAAACCAATCAGAGAATCGTCCCTGGACTATTTTCCAGACTATTTTCGAGCATTCTGTTTGTAGAGGGACATGCCCGACCGAAGTCCAGACCTGAGGAGACCCCGCATCGAGAAACTTCAGATATCGGATGCCCGAGGAGACAGAGACCCAGCGAAGCCAACGAGGAGTGGCCCGCGGAGAGCCTCGGGGCAGCACCGCCTCAACACAAGAAGGCCCACCCTATAGGAGGGTCGGAACGCGGGAGCACCTCGTGGAGTGGCCCTGCCGCCCGCCCCCGAGCATGGCGCCGCACCCCCATGGGGGCAGCGGCCAGACAAGCCGAGCCTGCACACGAGCGTGCCCTGCGACGCCCCGGGCGCATCCCAGGCCATGGGACCGTCAGAGGACGACTCGGGATGAAAGGCTGCTCCCAGGGGGAAGGCCGCAGGGTCGAAGGCCCGTTCCTGCCAGGGCCCAGTTCAGAAAGAAGAGGAGGCCGGAGGAGCCGAAATGAGCTCCGCAAGAAGGGGAGAGCAGCAGCGGAGGGCGAGGAGGAGACGGATGAGGGCGAGGACGATAACGAGGCACAGAAGGTAGGTGCTCGTAAGTTCCCGGATGTGCTCGTAAGCTGTTGGGCGTTCTCGGCGGTCTTGGGATGTCGGGACACATTCAAACACTTTAACCCGACGAAAGCTTCAACTACTGCGACGGTGGGACCCCATATGAGAATCTCCTGAGTTTGCATGGGAGTAATCGTCATCGTCGACCTCGTGAGTGTGGTTGCTGTGGTTGTGGAGGCCATTCTCCTGTTTCATGCCTCCCGCTCCTCTTCCTCCTCTTCCTCCTCCACCTGCTGCATCCGGCCCCTCCCGCCTCATCATCGTACATCATCCTCCCGCTTTCTCCTCCTCATCCTGCCTCCTCCGACTCCTCTCCCTCCTCCTCCTCTTCCTGCTCCATTCTCCCTGCTGATCCTTTTCTCTTCTTCTGCCCGCCCCCCCACATCCTCCACCAGCCCCCTCCTCCTCCTCCCCCTCCTTCTCCTCCTGCCTCCTCCGCCTCTTGCCTCCTCCTCTTGCCTCCTCCTCTTTTTGCGTCCTCCTCTTTCTCCTACTGCCTCCTCCTCCTCCTCTCCCTCCTCCTGCGTCATCCTGCCTCCTCCTCCTCCTGTATGTTCCCTCTGACTCCTCATCCTTCTCCCTCCTATTGCCTCGTCTTCCCCCGCTTAACCTTCTCCGTTTCCTCCATGTCCTCCTGCGTCCTCTCCATCATCATCATCATCATCATCATCATCATCATCATCATCATCATCAGCAGCAGCAGCAGCAGCATCATCATCAGCATCATCATCATCATCATTATAATCATCAAAATCATCAGCATCATCATCATCATCATCATCATCATCACCATCACCAACACTATCACCATCACCATCACCATCATGATCATGATCATGATCATCAGCATGATCCATCATCATGAACATCATCGCCATCATCCTCAGCACCATCATAATCATCATCACCATCATCGTCATCATCACCATCACCGTCACCATCACCATCACCACCACCACCATCACCATCACCAGCACCATCACCTGTACTATCATCATCATCAGCAGCAGCATCATCAGCACCATCATAATCATCATCACCATCATCGTCATCATCACCATCACCATCACCATCACCATCACCACCACCATCACCATCACCATCATCATCAGCATCATAAGCATCATCAGCAGCATCATCAGCATCATCATCATCCTGATTTCTCTTGTTCCTGCCTCATCCTCTTCCCTTTGTTCGTGCCACTACCTCCTGCCTCCTCCTCCTGCTTCTGGCCCTCCGCCCAGTCCTGCCACCTCCTGCTCCTTCCACCCTGCTCCTGTCTCCTGCCTTCTCCTTCTCCTCCTCCTCCTCCTCCTCCTCCCTCCCCTTCTCCTCATGATCATCCAGCCTCCTCCTCCTCCTGCAGTTCCTCCTTCTCCTCCTCCTCCTCCTCCTCCTCCTCCTCCTCCTCCTCCTACCCCTTCTCTTCGTCCTCCCTCCCTCGTGCTCCTCCCGCCTCCTCTGCCTCCTGCCTCCTCGTTCTTCTCCTCCTTATCGTCCGGTGTGCGGAGCAAGCTGTTGAGAAGCTTTGGTGCCGCCTTCCAATGAAGCCAGAGCAAGCCGTTGGTCGGACCCCACAGGGACAGGCTGGGGACCCAGTGAGGATGGGGGCTCCCGCTCGAGACCTCCTCGCAGTTCACTCACACACGGGGCCCCCGCTCAAGGCATTCGCACGATTCGCCTCCTAGGGGTGCTCGAAGGCTACGCTTGCTACGGTAGGCCGATGACCGCCTCGAATTCGAGCATTAAGTGACGACCTCATAGGGAAGGGGCTCCAGCTGGGGATTTGCTCGCTGTTCAATCCCAAATATGGCCACCACTGGAGACATCCTAACGATTCGCCTCATACGGGTGCCGAAATACTACGCCTGCTACGGTAGGCCGATGATCACCTCGGATTTGAACTTGAAAGTGGGACCCAATAGGCAGGGGGCTCCCGCTCGAGACTTCCCCGCCATTCACTCACAGAAGAGACCTCCGCTCAAGACATCCACACGATTCGCCTCCCCAGGGTGCTCCCGATTCGGCCGCCGATGGGTTACCACCGGCCGCCTGGACACAATGAGGACGACGGCGGCCTGGACGCGGATGAGTTACCACCCGCGCCCGGGGCGCAAGGGTTGCCCCTGCACCCGCTTCGGCCGCGGATGGGCTACCACACGCGGCTCGGACAAAAAAGTATCCCCCTGTGCACGGTCGCCGTCGTCCTCCTGCATTCACGTTCCTCCTAGCCCTCCTCTGATGAGTCGAGCGCGTGGCCCTCCAAGGAGTCCAAAAGTGACGACAGTTACAAGATTTGGATGACCCCGCTCGGATCGGCCCACGAAGGCTCGCATCACCTTGTTACCGTGTTTGCATGACCAGGTCGGATTCCAGCATGGAAGTGAGGGCTTGCATCACTGGTGAGGGCTCGCATCGCCCTGTTACGGTGTTTGTATGACCCGCCCGGACTTCGAGACAAAGTGCGGGCCCCACAAGGAGGGGGCTCTCGCTCGAGACTTCCTCGCTATGCACTCACAGACGAGGCCCCCGTTCAAGACATCCTCACGGTTCACTCACAGAAGAGGCCCCATCTCGAGACGTCCTCACGATTCGCCTCCTAGGGGTGCTCAAGTGCAAAGTGCAACGCCTGCTATGGTAGGCCGATGACCGCTTGGGATTTGCATATGAACTGGGACCCCATACGGGCGGGCCCCCCGCTCGCGACGTCCTCGCCATTCACTCACAGATGAGGCCCCCGCTCGAGACATCCTTGCGATTCGCCTCCTGGGGATGCTCAAGTGCTACGCCTGCTACGGTAGGCCGATGACCGCCTGGGATTCGCACATTAAGTGGGGACCCGTACGGGCAGGCCCTCCGCTCGAGACGTCCTCGCCATTCACTCACACATGAGACGCCCGCTCCTGACATACCCACGATTCCCCTCCTGGGGGTGCTCCAATGCTATACCTGCCATGGTAGGCCGATGACCGCCTGGGATTTGCACTTGAACCAGGGGCGGGCCCCCCGCTCGTGACGTCTTCGCGATTTACCCACAGAAGAGGCCTCCGCTCGAGACATCCCCACGACTTGCCTCCTATGAGCGCTCGGATGCTATATCTGCTAATGTAACCCAATGACCGTCTGGGATTCGCACAACAACTGGACACCCCAAAGGGAGTCGGCTCCCGCTCGAGACTGCCTCGCAATTTGCTCGGGCCCCCGCCCGAGACGTCCTCGCGATTCGCCTCCGAAGAGCGCTCACGTGCTATAGCTGCTCGGGTGGGCCGATGACCGCCTAGGATCCGGACGTGACGTGCAACCCCCATAGGGAACTCCCGTTCAAAACTTCCTCGCCATTCACCCACACATGAAGCCCTCGCCCCTGACATGACTCGTTTCCCGGGGGTGCTCACATGCTACGCGTGCGATGGTAGATGGTAGGCCGATGACCGCTTGGGATTCGGACGTGGGCCGCGGAAAGGATTCCGACTCGAAACTTCCTCGCCCTTCACTCACACATTAGGCCACCGCTCGAGACATCCTCACGACCCGCTTCTTAAGGGTGCTCGAATGCGGCGCTTGCCATGGTAGGTCGATGACCGCGTGGGACTCGAACGTGAAATGCGGACCGCATAGGGTGGGCGCTCCCGGTCGAAACCTCCAAGCTATTCGTTCACAGACAAGGCTTCCGATCGAGAGGTCTTTAATATGACTGCTTGAGTCTGCGAGTGCGTGTGAATGTGGGAGTGTGCTGTTTCGAAGGAATGGTCAGTGCGCGCGTATGGAATAATGATGATGATCGTGGTGGTGAGATGATGATGGTGATTGGCATGATATGGTGGCGGGTGTGTGACAGAAAGTAAATGAAGGAGTGATGATGATGACGATGGTGGTGTGGTAATGCTGGTGGTGATGGTGATCGCCATGAGTGGAAAGCAGCGGATGACAGAGGGTGGTGATGTGATGGAAATGGTGTGTGAAACAAGGAAAAGAGGAACAAGGAGTAGGAGATAATGTGTACGGACTGCGCGGGGCGTCCAAAGACAATGATTCCGACGGAAAGACCCCGTATGATAGTTGTCTTAGTGAGCATTACCATATCATCGTCGACGACCGATGGTGGCAATGCTGAAACGCCAAGATACCAGACTGCAACCTGTGGGGCCGTTG